TTTGAATATTGCACAGTGTTGTTTTGTTGTAAGGGCCATCCAGTTGGTTCCAACTCACAGCGATCCTGTGCACAACAGAATGAAACACTGCCCAGTCCCGGGTCATTCTTGCAACTGTTAAGCTTGAGCCCATTGCTGCTGTCACTGTACTAATCCATCTCACTGGGGGTCATCCTCTTTTGTGCTGACCCTCCATGTTACCAAGCATGATGTCCTTCTCTGGGTTCTGGTCCCTCCTGATACTGTGTCTGAACTATGAGAGATGAAGTCTTGTCATCCTGGCTTCTAAGGAGCACTCTGGCTGTAATTCTTTCAACATACACTTGTCAGTTCTTCTGGTAGTACATGGTACTTTAAATATTCTTTTTCAACACCATAACTCAAATACATTAATTCTTCTATGATCTTCCTTATTCATTGTCCAACTTTCACAAGCCTGAGACTGTTGAAAATACTATGGCTTGGGTCAGGCACACCTTAGTCCTCAAACTGGTATCTTTGTTCTTGAACACTTTAAAGAGGTCTTGTACAGCAGATTTGCCTCAGGCAATAGAATACCTTTTTTTTTTTTTTTAAGTTTTTATTGTGAATTGAGTGATAGTTTACATGGGAGAACATCAGCTTTACATTCATCCTATCATATTTCATTTCATTGCAATGATTACAATCCCCTCCATGCATCATCATTCAACAGTTATTTGCTTCTATTCCTTCTGTTTTTTGAATGTACACCAAAACACTCAGGAATATATAATCATTCAAACAACCAAAGGACACACCCTGCAAGCCTGCCCCCTGGCTGCCAGCACACAGCCCCTCTCCCTCCATGAGTCAGTCTAAAGTCCCCAGCCACTCCATCTCTCCGCGTCGTCATCTCTGCCTCCATCTCTGGTGTCACTGCTTCTCTGGATAGGGTCCCACACTCTGCTCTTCTCCCTCTCGATGGTCTCAGGGTCCTCAGCTCCTGGACTGCAAGATCAACGACTCCCTCTTTTTGTTACAAAGCATCTACCTTTACATTTGCAACAATTGCAATCAGTACTGATAACAGTTACTCAATATTGAATCACAAGAGTCTTATCCCCATCTCCTTTCACCAGCCCCTTCTAGACAGGTTGAAAATCACTCAGTGGAGATTCTACCTTTCCCCTCACTCTCTGAAATTAAACTCCCCCTAGAAAACTTGTAAGCCAGTCACTTCGTGCGTTTGTAGCCCCCCATTTTAGGTAGTCAATGTCTAAGTTGCCCATCCCTGTCAACCGTGTGGACTGAGGGGGTGGGAATGATTCTCGTTGTGAAGATTCCTTTCCTCTTTTAAGCTACTACATCCATAAGTATAGGTCAAATTCATCAAATTGTAGCAGATTGATAGTGTACTCATTTTTAAGGTACAATCTTATACAGCCTTAATAGGATTGTATTTGTCTCAAGTTATTATTTGCTTCTATCTGTTTTGTCACAGTGAAAAATTAGAATTATTCTAGAATGTTTACAAAGCTGGTAAAAGCTCTGAGTATTTTAACTGGTTTTCAGGGACTTCATAACATTCATAGAAAAATTCCATTCTCTTTGTATTATGAGCACATAAGTAAGTTCTCTTAGTGTGCAATGGTGATTCAGTAGTAAAATTCACTCCTTTCATATGCTATCCAGGAGTTCTGGTAGCGTAGTGGTTACAAGTCGGGTTGCTAACCTCAAGGTGAGCAGTTCGAAACTCCCAGCTGTTCCACGGGAGAAAGATGAGGGTTTCTGCTCCCATAAAGATTTACAGCCTCGGAAACCGTATGCAGGGTCACTATGAGTCAGAACTGACTTAACAGTACATAACCACCACCACCACCACCATGTGTAGCTATCCTAAGCAGTGCTTCTAGCCACTACCCTTGTGTGGGCGGAGTCTGTGTGTTGCTATGACGCTTCCCTTGTGTGGGCGGAGTCTGTGTGTTGCTATGACGCTTCCCTTGAGTGGGCGGAGTCTGCATGTTGCTATGACGCTGAGCAGGTTTTACTGGAGTTTCCAGACTAAGATGGACTAGGAAGAAAGTTCTGGAGATTTATTTTAGAAAACCGTACAGAAACGGAACGCAGCCAGGCAGCCGTCAGCCAATCACGGGGAATGGTGCATGGCGTTGCCATGAGTCGAGGGCCTACTCAAAGCAACACACTCACTGAACATAAACTAAAATAAAAATCATAACACTGAGCGCAGTAACTGAAGCTTCTGTTTGTTGCAGTTAGTGCTTATGTACACAGTTGTGGTGGGTTGCCAGTCTCTTTTCTTTACCTTCTGGTTGTGAATTGGGTGAAGGTTTAGCTAAGACATCTGTGTTCTAGTCAACAATTCATACACATTTTGTTTCATGTCACTTGATTAACTCACTTCCTCCATGTGTTTTCTGTTTCTTTTCTTCCTTTTTTCTTAACCCTTATGAACTCTGTCCTCAGGTAAATGATGCCCTATGATAGCAAACGGTGTGTTATTCTAAGGAGTGTGGACCTCCGTACTGTTACTGTTCTCCCTATAGACCTGTCTGGGTGAGAACTAACCACGGGGATGCGTTCAGTTCCAGACTGGAAGGGAGACCAAGGGTCTTAGTCTTTGGGGTTCCATTAGTCTGTCCAGCCAGGAAGCCTGGTCTTTTTATGGTTTTGAGTTTTGTTCCACATTTTTTTCCTACTCTATCCATGATCTGCAGTCCTGGTGTGGTTCTGTAGATTAAAGCACTGGGCTGCAAAGTTGGTTTAAACTTCAAAGTCGGTGGTTCAAACTCACCAGCCACTCCTCAGAAACCCTACTATACAGGGCTGCTATGAGTCTGAACTGATTCAACAGTGCTTGACAACAGTGACAGCAATCCATAACCTAACTGCCTTTCAGAGCAGCTGTTAGTGGTAGCTGGGCACCGTATAGTTCCTGTGTTCTCAGGGTCCAGAAAGCTACTGTTTGCACAGTCCACTAGTCTGTTGGATTGATTGTTTCCATGTCTTTAGTTTTCTGAACTCTTTCTGTTTGGATAGGAAGAGACCAGTAGTTGTACTTTTGCAAAAGTGGCAGGGACACCCAAGTCTGACTCCCTCTGGCTTCACAAAGACAAAGGAGAATCAAAGTCTAATTCAGCTGAAGTCCAGTTCCTATGAGACGTGCCTTCACCCCGCAATCTTCTGTGCCTTCTTCTGACACTGAGCACCCCTCCCACAGCGCTCTCTGCTTCCTTTACATCTGCGTCACCAATCCACTGCAGTGGCCACACAGAGCTCTTAGACATTCTCTCACATGGGGCTTATCAGGGAAGTGAACAGGGTACAATTCAAGATTCGAAACAACTCAGGATGCAGCAGTTCTCAAGTCCAGAACGTCTCTGCTCGGCCATACTGCTGGTCTCTCAGCCTGGTGACCATTCAGCCTCTGCCTTGCTTGGACAAGTGTTACAGAACTCCTTGTTGTTGTTATGTGCCGTGGAGTCAGTTCCGGCTCATAGTGACCCAGCACAGTGTTTCCGAGGCTGTAAATCTTTACGGGAACAGAACGCCTCATCTTTCTCCCGCGGAGCAGCTGGTAGTTTTGAACTGCTGACCTTCAGGTTAGCAGCCCGATTAATAACCACTATGCTACCAGAGCTCCTTTAACCAGTCTGTAAATGCCCAAAGGGTACATTCTGTAAGTAGCTTCCTGCCTGTAGGCACTCGACTGCTGTATCTCTGTGCCAATGCCTCTCCTGCCACCTCTACGCTCTTTTTTCCTCATGGTCCTGGGATTGTCTGTTCTTGCTGTTGAGATGGCTCCTTTTGTGTGTGTGTGTGTGTGAACTGAGTGATAAGTTTACATGGGAGAATATCAGCTTTACACCATTGTTTCACTGCAATGGTTACACTTTCCTCTGTGCCTCATCATTCAACAGTATTTGCTTCCATTCCCTTTGTGTTGGTTTTTTTTTTTGTGTGTGTGTGGGGGGGGGGGGAGACCCTGTACACAAAAACACTCAGGCATATATAAGTCCCCAGCCACTCCATCTCTCCGCGTCGTCATCTCTGCCTCCATCTCTGGTGTCACTGCTTCTCTGGATAGGGTCCCACACTCTGCTCTTCTCCCTTGATGGTCCTAGGGTCCTCTAATTCTGGACTGCAAGATTAACTAATCCCTCATTTTTGTTATAATGCTTCTACCTTTACAGTTGTGACAGTAGCAATTAGTCATGATAACAGTTACTCACTATTGAATCTTAAGAATATTATTCCCATCTTCTTTTACCAGACTCATCTACACAAGATGAAAGCTATTCAATAGGGTCTCTACCTTTCTCCACACACTCTGAAACAAAACTCCCTCGTGAAAACTTGTAAGCCAGTCACTTCGTGCCTTTATCGCCCCCCTGGGATGGCTCCTGTTAAACCTAGTCATGTATTCTTTATTTGCACAATCCCACCCAATCATTTGTTGGGAGTTAAGAAGACTTTGGATTCTTGCTGTGGAGTTGTAAGATAAGCACTGAACTGCTAACTGCAGGGTTGGCAGTTCAAACCCACGAGCCTTTCCTTGGAAACCCTGTACAGGGTCACTATGAGTTGGAGGTAGCTAACTCATTGGCACTTAATATCAAGAAGACTTTGGAAAGAAAAGCCGTATCATGTGCATTGCACACATCCACAAACTTGGATCGCCACTAAGAGCTTTCCAGTTGCTACTCACCAAAGTAGGATGTAGAACACTGTCTTCGTGGCCTGTTATGCCAGTTGACTTTGGTTTCACTGCCCCTGCTCCAGACCATGATCCTGATCCCTCCCCTTTGACAAACCCCAGTGCTTCGTCAGTTTCTCGTGAGACTTTGTATGGGCCTGAAAACGGTGGACCTGTTCCTGTTACTAGCTTCACCTGAACAATCAATTATATGACAGTTTTAGGTACATATCACTATCTTAAGATATAATGTATTTCTTTTAAAATTCCCAATATCTTTGTATATTAAAGATATCGTCACCTTTGTATTTTCCCCTTCTTGCAGCTCCTATGTTAGATTTGACATAATTCGAAGGATCCTAACCAAGGTTTTTGGATGCAACATAGTCATGGTGATGGGAATCACAGATGTGGATGATAAGATTATTAGAAGAGCCAGCGAGGTAAGTGAGGAAGCCTTTTGCATTTACTGGTAACCTGATTCATTGCCGCACTGACCTTTACACAGCAGTTGTTCCTTTTACTGTCTTTTGCACGTAATTGTCATATTTTATTATTCCAGCATGAATATAAATTAATAAAGGAAACAGTGACTGGTTATCAGTATAATGTTTTTTTTGTTGCTAAGTGCTGTGGAGTCTGTTCTAACTCATATTGGCCCTGTATAGTGTTTCTGAGGAGCGGCTGGTGGATTTGAACCACTGATCTTGCTGTTCAAACTGGCCTTGTGGCCCAGTGTGTATCCTACAGTGCCACACCAAGGCTTCGTATTCTTTTTAGTTCTAATGAAGGGACTTCATTTTGGTCACTAAAATGCTTCATTCTGTGGTAGTACCCTGACTTGAACCTTTAATCCCTCCTCTATCCTTTCAGCCTCCAAGATAAATAACTGTAGAGAAGAAATCAGCTTCTAATACTTGGCAGTGGATATATTCATAATTCTCCTAACAATACCTTTATTTCTGTGCTGCTTGATACTTAAAAAGTGATTTTGTTTATAGACTAATCGTATATCACCATTTGAGTATTAAAACAATCCCATGTGCTTGGAATCCTTGTGGGGCACTACAATAAGCACGGGACTGCTTACCAAACCTACCAGCTGCTCCGTGGAAACTCTGAGTTAGAACAGCAGCAGCAACCTCTGCCGGGCAGACGAGACCTTGTTGTGACTTTTTTACATATGTTTCTGAGCCCTGGTGGTGCTGTCAGATAAGCATTAGACTTTAGTCACAAGGTCAGCGGTTCAGACTTCCCAGCCACTCTGTTCCCATGAAGATTTACCCCTCAGAAACCCAACATAGGGTTGCTATGAGTCAGAATCGACTCAGTGGCTGTGAGTTTGGACTTTTACATATGTTTAGGAGTTTTAAAAAATGTTTTTAAATGGTTTCAAACCTACAGAAAAATTGCAATACCAGTATACAGCACTCTTGCATTCCCTTTAGCAGGATTTCCCCCTTACTATTATTGTATCCAAGGAGCTCT